AGAATATTTCATACACTGGAATCACTTGATTATTAAAGATAATAATTCATCAAATTATGTCCCAACCTTTAGCTGAATGTATCTCTACATTCATGCCTAGCTAAAACATTGGAAAATGTCAAATACAGCAATACATTTCGAAATCTAATCTAAAATTGTGTTTAAAGGTCAGAAAGTGCAGAGGAATCAAAGTGGAAAAACAACCACGTTGGAATGATTTAAATCATATCTCACTCATTCATTCCTTGTTTTTGATTTCTTTCTCCTGACCAGAGTGATGACCTTATAAAACCTCAGGTTCCTGTAAATACCTCAAAGAGATCATTTGACACGTGTGCAGTGTCGGAGGAGAACCAGCGAACCATGGGTCCCCTCGCTACGCCTAAAAAAGGAAGAGAGGGAGGTTCTGTTGACCCCTGGACACCGACCTCCAACCTTAAAATGCTCATCAGTGCTGCTAGTCCTGACATCAGGAACCGGGAGAAGGAGCTGTGCATGGACCCTGAGGGACGGGAAGGTCTCGACTCTGCACAGGTATTAAAACAACTCCGAGCATTAACGCATGACAGATTCTCTCTGTTGAGTCAAGCTGTTAAATTATATATTTCCTGCTCTTGTTTGTGTTATTTTTTTTAGGACGCTGAAAACGCAGAAGAGTCTGAGAGAATGATCAGCAGAAAAGAAAAGAGTTTGGGTTTGCTTTGTCACAAGTTCCTCGCCCGCTACCCAAATTACCCAAACCCCGCCCTCAACAATGACATCTGTCTGGACGACGTGGCCACTGAGCTCAGTACGTCCTCTCTGTCGTTGTCATCCTTTCTTTTTCACCAGTAACTTATGTTGTGCTACTTTGTTCTGAGAGTTGCTTCAGCGTCTTTTCCCCTTTTTTGTCTGTACAGATGTGGAGCGCCGGCGCATCTACGACATCATGAACGTGTTGGAGAGCCTGCACATGGTGAGCCGCTCGGCCAAGAACCGCTACACGTGGCACGGCCGCTCCAAGCTGGCTCAGACCCTGGCCATTCTGAAGCGGGTGGGCGAGGAGCAGCAGTACGGTCAGCAGATGCAGCAGATCCGGCAGCGTCTCCTGGAAGAGAAGGAGAACGAGGAGGTGGTGGAGTTGGAGAGCACCGAGCAGGGACAGAAGGAGCTCTTCTTCGTGGAGCTTCCGGGAGTAGAGTTCAAAGCAGGTGAGAAGCTGGAGAGTCTTCATCATTTCTTAATTGTCTTAAAGTTTGGAAAATTGGATTTGGAGTTTTCCCAGAGTTTTCCCTTCACAAATGCACAACACAGCAGGTTTTCTGCAAAGACGCGTTCTCAACAGCATCAAACCCCTGTGTGCAGCAGACAGAGACAGGAAGTGACATATTAACTCTGCTGCGGAGATCACGTGATCATGTTTACATCACCCTGACACCATTATCAGCTCTAACCACCACAAACTCTCCAGACCTCTTCGAATGTTTCTGAAACTGTGGATACACCACACACACAACGTTTGTCTTAGAATTAAACATCCGAGAGAAAATGACAAGAACCTGCTATTAGAGTGATTCATATTTATACAAAATGTCCTCTTCCTGACTCGCTGTTTGTCCCGTCCAGCCTCTGTCAACAGCCGGAAGGACAAATCTCTGCGGGTGATGAGCCAGAAGTTTGTCATGCTCTTCCTGGTGTCTTATCCTCGTGTGGTCAGTCTGGACGTGGCTGCGAAGATCCTGATCGGAGAGGACCAAGGCGCAGATCAAGACAAGAACAAGTTCAAGAGTGAGCTCAGATTCTGATGGATAAAGGGTTTATTACTCTCTGTCTCTGCGTGACCATAAATAATTTCACTGTTTGCTGTTGTGTTTGCAGCCAAAGTGCGGCGGCTCTATGATATAGCTAATGTGCTGCGTAGCCTGAAGCTCATCGAGAAGGTTCACGTGACAGAAGAGCGGGGGAGGAAACCCGCCTTCGAATGGGTCGGCCCCGTAGAATTCCCACAAGTCAAAGGTATCGCAAGACCTCGGTTCTTATTTGCTATTTTTAAATTATGGCTTAACATTTAAAGTATGTTGTGGTATGTAAACACATATTCTATAGGCAACAAACTCTAAACTCTTGTTTCAGACTTGGAGAGCTCTGCGACTGAATGTCCAGCCAAGAAGAAAAATGTTCTGGAATCACGTGCGTCTGTGGACAACTGTGCCAAAAAACTCTTTTCGTCACCCGGGGCTAAGCGCAGTTTCACCCGGCACCCCTCCCTCATAAAGCTGGTAAAGAGCATCCAGGACGACCGACGCAAGATCAACTCGGCCCCCACCAGTCCCGTCAAGACCAGTGAGTAGAGTTCAGATGTTTCTGCAGGTTTTCTGTGTTTGGTAATGGTGTGATGACACATGTATCTGCTCTTGTCTTAAGGTGATTCATCAAACACAGACATCCCGAACAAAATGGCCCAACTTGCTGCGATCTGTAAGATCCAGCTCGACCAGGAGTCTGTGTAAGTTTGGTCCCATTTTTATCGGGTTGAGTCCTTCAAATCAAATTTGGAGCAGTTATCTGTTTTGAATCTAAACTACCAACCCGGTGCCAATGCTCGATCTCACCATGTTAAAGGAAGTGAAATCTTCTGGATTGTTGAATGAGTTTTGCTTCTGTTCCAGGTCTGGAGGTAAAAACCTCAAACCTGCTGCTGCTCAGGCAGACGCAGCCGCCGCGAGGCTCGAGCCAGCCTCGTCTAATTCAATGGAACCGCCTCAAGCACAGTTACAAACGTCAACCCAGGAGCCTGGAGTCAACACTACAGTCCACCTAACCCCCCATCACCCACTGGCATTACAGTCCGCAGGCTCCTTCTCCTACATCCCCACACAGTGCTCGCCCCTGATCCCGGTCCTGTTTCCTCAGCAGCGGGGGAGCGGGCCCTACGCTGTGTATCTTCAACCGTCTTCCCTCAGGTCAAACCCTCTGGCCAGGCCGCAGCCGACCAGCCTCGCCGTGCGCTCCATGACCTTTGAGGAAAAAAGCGGACAGAGCCCACATGCGCCGCCTGCCAGCATGGCGTCAGACTCCAGCCCCGTGGCGCTCAAACGGCTGCATCCAGATCCAGCTTTGGAGAGCAGCTCGTCTAAAGTCAAGAGGACCGACCCAAACTTTAAGGTGAGAAAAAAATTGCCCACAGCCTTTTTGCTATGTTAACTTTTAAATGACAAATTTACACAATGTATGACACAGCAACAGGGCAACACAAAATGCATTCTGGGACATTTACGTCCAACAAAATCACCCCCTGAATTCTGCCCCCTGTAGGACACCTCTCCGAAGCTGTGTGAGATCCTGCAGGCCCGTCTGAAAGCCCGTCGTGGCGACCAGCTCTCGAGCCGGCCCTCGCCCCGCGTCCTCCACCTGGACCCTGAGTTTGTCAACACCCCCACTGGTGCTGTGGCCAATCAGACGCTAGAACAGAGCTTGGAGACCCTCCTGGACACAGAGGACAAGACTGTCAACTCTGACAGTGAGGCGGGATTGACTCCAGTCAGAGCTGTGCCCCTCACACCCGGACAACTCCACACAGAGGTAAATAATGAACAACGCTTTCTGTGCTTCCTGTTTTTCAAGGAAGGATTTTGAAAGTTTCTTGTTTTTTTAGCTGCATACGTGACATTTATTTTTCTGCCCGTCCAGACTTTAGTACCGGCCGGATACCTGATCCCAATCTCCCAGCAGTCCCTCATCAGCTACAGGGAAAATAAAGCTTCAGGCGGAGAAAGCAACAAGACCTCAACCCCCACGTACATTTACCAAACACCAACCGCAGGTAAAGACCACAGAGAATGTGACGTTTGCTAATGTTTCACTACACTGTACTGGGATTTAACTATTTAAATTAATCACTTTTCAGCTTATGATATAATCGATTTGTTTGATCAATGGTAGAATATCAAAAATATTACATTTACAGAAATATACCAGAGACCAGAGTCTGTTTTTAAAAGTCTTGAACAGCTAATTTATCTTCTAATTGATGAATGGACTAATACGTATCATAGATCATGAGAGGAGATCAGACAGTTTTATTATTTCCTCGTCGACAGGCTCCAGACCTGCCCTGGCCCAGGAGATCACACCCACCAGCCTTCGCCTCCACAGACCCACTGCTGCAGACTCTCCGCGCCCCTCGCAGCAGGCTCACCACCTCCACAACCCCAGTCCGGCCATCCTCAACTTCACCCTGCAGAACCTGGGCCTGATCTCCAGCCCAGGAAACGCCTTCGCTACCCCTCAGACCCCAGAGCGCACCAACACCCTGTCCAGCCCACTGCCGGCCCCGCTGTCTCTGCAGCAGAGAGGCATGGTCTTCATCAAACCCGTGTCCCCTGTGCCTGTTCACCAGTCTGTTCCTGCACACCCAGTGACGCTGATCAGTGTACAACAGGTGAAAATACAAAAACACACACACACACACACAAACACAACCTGACTCTGGACCTGCTGATTTACAAATTAAGATGTTAATACATCACAGACTTTGATTCTCACAAAAACTCAAGAACATCCATTTGATCTTATCACTGGTACTGACAATTAAATACAAAAACAATGTTCCGATAAAATCTTTAGGTTTGTAGATTTTGTAAAGACGCAGAAACTGCTCTTCGTTCTGTGAAACATGATCCGTCTCACTAACTGAACTCTGTCCGTTGTCCAGCCGCTGATGACCACCCCCAAAGGGACCGTGCTCCCCCAGCACAGCTTCTTCCACACGCCCGGCCCCCTGTCGCCTCTGGCCGCCATGGTAACCACGGGCGGACACGCGGCCTCCCAAACAGTTTACATCCCTCAGAGGAAGCTGGACGTGGCCTCCGAGGAGTCGTGAAGGGAAACCCTCTGGTGTCTGTGTTGATTATGTGTGTGAGTGCTGCGTCTGTGTGGTGGTCAGTTGCTCGGGTTGGTGTTTTTTGTTTCATTTGGTCTGTTTAGCATGTTACAGTATTCATTACCTCGGAGTATTTCACAACGGCGTCGGTTCTCATCCCAGTCGGTTCTAAAAATAAACTGCCAGACTGGGACTGTGGCCCAGTGGACACACGGAACGGAGATTTCAAACCAACTTCACCGGCAACACTGTTGTCATTGTGATGCCAGGGTGAAATTTACATAAACTAAAGGAACAGAATTATAATTTTTGTTTATTTTTGTTGTATCAAATCTTTTTCTTCTAATTACCACGAGTAGTAAAAGTAAAATCTATAAATAGCGCCACACGCAGCTCGGACGGATGTTTTGAACTGAAGAGACGAGTTTGATTGGAAACATTGTTGACTGATAATTTTAATAAGATGAATTTACTTTTGCACATATGTACATGTTAACTGTCGCCCCCTTTTTAAAAAATGGAATTGTCAAGAATATGTGAATACTTGAGACTAATCAAAAGTTTTGATGAGTTTAATTTATAAGCAAATGACAAATTGTTTTTGATGTCCTGCGAAATGTAAAATGCTAAATAAATTTTAATCTGTTTTTTCTAAGAACAGCACGTCATGTCTGTTTTTTCTTTTCTTCTCCAGAGGAATATCTCCATATGCTGCATGTCCATTGAGCTTGATTGAATTATTTTAGTTCAATCTAGTTTGATTCATATATATTTGCCTTCTTCCTCATTAAACTTCATTTCTAAATTTGTTAGCTCCTCAATTCTCCGTTATAATTAAAACGATTTCTCATTTTCTTTCACCTCATTCTTCCTCTTTGAATAAATCAGAAATCTGCTTCCTGGATCAGACATCTGAATTCAGTTGTGTCCATCGTTTAACTGCAAATTAACCATTTCTATGATTTAACTCGAACATGTCTGAACCCTTTAGAGTCCTCGGCCAGTTTTAAAATCCACATTAAATACAGTTTCACCTTGCTGATGTTTGGCATCTTTTGTTTTAGCACAACATCATCTATCGGACCAGAAATTGAATTTTTCAACATATTGGAACCAAAAACACGGACGACACATCACGTATAGACTCCAGAGGTTTAAAAATCACCTCAATACAGATGATAAATACATTTTATAAAGTCAAAAAACACAACCTCTTCATTGTAGCTACCTTCAGACCAAACATCTCAATAAATTCTCTGCATTCTCCGTCCGTCAGTCCAGCTGTTTGGTTTCCCGGTGTGTCCTGAGCAGCACCACGTCACTGGTGCGTCTGCAGTTGTCATTTACATGCTTTGAGTTCCCGTCGTTTATGTTGATAATCCTGCATCGATGCCTCCATGTGTGCAGCTGTCACGGTTTCCTGTGTGTGTGGACACAGGAACAAACGTCTGTGACATTCAGGCGTCTCTGGGGCCGTGACGAAGGGTCAGAGGCCTCCGCTCTGTCACAGGTTATTTTGGGAGGATGCTTTCACTCCAGTGTCACCGGTGGACTGTGGTGATGGAGGATATATAAACCACCCGGGTTTGTTCCCTGCCACAGGACTGAAGCATTCAGACTTTGATTCAAGGTAAGGTCTCATTTCCAGAGTTTGTGTTTTATTATCACGAGGCTGATGTTTGATAAATGATGAGGTAATTTAGTTCATTTTAGTTGGGTGGAATTAAATTAACCTTATTAGACTCTTTTCTTCAGTTCCACATGAGATTTTATTCATATTCAGAAGTTTGCGGCAGCGTTTTGATTTCAGACAGTTTGACTTTTGTGTGTGTGACGTCTCAGTGAAGCCTCTATTCCTGGAATATCACAGACCAGTGCTGTGAGGTGATGGGCAGCGTCTGATATGAGAGGGAGCTGGAACGTCAAAGACAAAAACCAGGAGGATTCATTTTACTGAAGCTGAAGTGCTTGATTGACTTGATTCAATTTAATTTGCAGCACAAAAACTTTTTTCGCCCCAAAATGTTTTTTGTAGCTACTTTGACGTATAGACAGTGATAATTTCCAAGGTAAATCAAACAATAATTAATTGGTAAGAAATTTCAAAATGATCCAGAGTATTTGATGATGTCATTTGAGCGAGAGTGAGTTGATTCATTTGTTAAAAAGAAAAATATTTCAATAAATGGTTTGGTTTTGTCTTCATTAACTCTCAAGCTTAAATGGGAGGGAGTTCCTCTCTCATCTTCACTTTATATCATAATAACTGAATATTTGAACAGTTTTAAGTTATCAGCAGAATTACTGGTTGATTCATTAAATCAGTTTATCAACTAATTAGAAATTTAATTGGAAGTAGTTTTGATGATGGAATTGTCAAACACAGTTCTGCGTCTCA